TAAATCTGTTATGAAATATCTATATCAGCTATTATTGTCATTACTGGATATGATGATTCATTTGAATATTCATGTGTAAGAATGACAGTCTGTTCAAAAATCAGTAGGCTGCCTCATTTTTCATTTATCGAAATGCATCACATTTATTCTACTCCAAGTTGTCTAAATCTTCCAGTTACATCCCTAAGTCTCAGTCTACATTCGCACCCATTTCAGCTTGCTGGGATGAATTTTTCAATGGAAACGAAGGAGAAGAAATTAGGGATATTGGTAAGTGCTTCAGGTAGAACAATATTTCCTCAAATAATATATATGAGCGATTGTCGTACTGCATGAAGATTCTGGACATGGAGTAAATACTTTGTTATAAAAAATGCTTAGCATTCTGTACTATATAAAAACTCACTTTTCAGAATATAGCTATTATTATTATTATTAGATAGCTAATTTAAGTCAACAACGCTGGCAGGGGGTAACTGGTTCGTTTGGTGTAAAACATTCTTGTTATTCTAACGAAAAATCATGTATATGAATAACTGACAGATTACTGACCAGTTATCGCAGCTTTCCTATTATGACCTTATGGAAGTGCTCTATAGAAAGACATTAGACAGGTAATCAGCATACAATAGGATGTCTGTGGATCATATTTAGTTTTAGGTTTTTTTCATTCCTGTGCGTTCCACCCGGAACTTGGGGCTTGAAGCTAGAGCTCTGAAGTTTTGCTAGTGCGTCGGTGGCACAGTGGTTAGGACTCTCGCCGACCATGCACATCGTGCGAGGTTCGATCCCCTGCCGACGCACACCTGATATCTATGGTCGGCCTGCAAAATTTGGGCTACCGATATCCATGCTGAAAATTCTATACTTGTACCAAAAATACAGTGTGGAATCAAGCTGTAATAAAAAAATAAAAACTAGTGGTTGTTTGTCCTAACATGGAGTGGGATTACCAGCCTCAACCTTCTCTTTTTACATGACTTATTACTGGCTAAACGAGGTTTACGAGTACGTCAGCTGACAATAGATCCCGATCATTCTAACACTGAACAACTGACGCAAGAGTGTTAAGTATACGTAAGTCATTGTAGGAAGTAAACATACTACTAGCTATCTGTTTATATTTTGACTTTATATTACAGTTATTACTTTTTTACATACTATGCTTAAGAAAACGGTAATGTTGAAAATCTGGTTAAAGCCGGTTATAATGTAACGAAATTAGGTAAGTATAAGTCCATTTATGTGATACTTGACGCCTTTACTTCAGTAAAGTTTATTGGCACACATACTGGTTACTTTTTCACTCAAGAATGGTAACTCAAGCTTAAGAAATATGGCCAGGATTCAAAAACGGGTAAACTAATCATTTCTGATTGTATGCGTTTAATAATGTCAGCATTTATGAAAAATGCATTGTAGTTAGAAAGCCAGAAGTTCAGCAGAAATATCTTTCTGTCCATTTCATTCTCAATGGATATACAATCTCAACTTTTATACATTCTTTTCTTTCTGTAATTTTGCATATTTTCGTTTAATATTTGATTCGATCTAATGACAAAGGTGAGATTTAAAGCAGATAATAATTTTCTTCAATATGCTATGAAAATATGATTAGAGACAAATATTAGTCTCAAAGGGTGTAGAAACCAAAATTGCTTTGGATTAGAAAAATGTTCGCGTGATATGTAAAACGGTTTTCTTGTCGGTAAAAGTGTGATCGAAATGTGAATCCAGATACAATGAAAATGCAGGAGACAGTTAAGAAAACAGCCACGAAAAAGAAGGTAAACAAAACTGAATTGATGTAGGGGTTGCACAAGCTTCTTCTGAACACAGTCCTGGCTTATCCACGTCTCTGGTGAGTGGCTGTGCAGAGTAAAGAAGTTGAGGGCATATTGTCATACGTATACTTCTTCCTACTTTGTAAATGACTGTGAATGATAAGTCAGTTGAAATGCTGTGGTGGGTAGTGACGAGATGTTCAGTTCTAGTACTTCTGATTAAACGAGTGCCAACTCCATGACACTGTTCTGTGTGGCCTTCTGTTAGTCATGGAAGGACCAGTATAGAACTGTCTGCATATTTAGCTTTCAAAAGGCAGATGAGTTAATATATGCAAATTAAGGTAGTCATATCCGGTAGTTTTCGCTTCAAATTATTTTAAAGGGCTAGACGGCTAGAGAGTATCAATCCTAGGGTTTTCGCAAGGTAATTTCTCTTTAGGGAAATAAAAATCCTCTTCTATGAAATGTCTACCACTGAGCTTACTGAAGTCCGTTCACACGTTTAGTATTCTTTGTGGCACTGATGTGTATTCTTTTTCTCTTTGACTTTACATTGATGTTCATTCATTTTCGATTAAGCAGGAGCTATTCTTTTAAGCAGTCAGTGCTTCGCATTCTGCCAACTCAGTGAAGAAATTGAATGATCAGCTCCCTTTTTCGACTCACAGGTACTCAACTATAGAAGTTCGTTAGCTGGTAATGCCATGGTGGTTTTATGTGGATAGAACTTTTCAGAGTCCTGTTATCTCTTCTTGACCTGCTGGAAATACCATATGTGACACACATGTGTCAAGTCTGCGAACCATATAAAAGCATTGACTGACTTAACATTAGTGTTGAAAAATATGGATCTTTTTCCGTACATTCAATGCATCAGATTTCCACACTGATTCCAGTGTAGTGAAGATCTGTCTTACTTTTCCGGTCTTGGTTTTAACATCATCTGCGATGCCTGTAGTTTGAATGATGTTGCCTAGGTAAGTGAAAGAGGTAACTTCCTTTGGATTTCTTCTATTCATGGTGATATAGACATATACAAATTCATGAACTTATAGTCTTCCATGAAGGTCAGGGTAGTAGTAGTGACTAGACTTGTTTCTTCTGCACAAAGAGCACTGGTTTTGTCACGCTGATCGCGATAACCTGTGTTGTTTGGAGTATGCGGTACCTGGATGTTTTTGGTGATTGTTTGGTACCAGATAGATGTTAGAGATGCGCATTTTTAATCAGTGAATATATTATATATTATATGTACAGAAACAAAATTATCTGCTCTACCTTCAACAAGACACATGGAATGGAATGTATAGTGAACAAAAAGTACAACTATTTAATGAAAAATCACGCACCTCCAATCATCGCATAAACATCCAATCTAGTGAACAGACTACACAGTTAACTGTTGATATATTAACCTTGCTTTTATTCGGTGAAGCTGTGGAATTATTGCCGTACATCATGATACCATTCAGCTTGTACGTATCTCTATTAATTTCTTACCTCACAATACTGATGACGGACTTATTCACAGAGGACACCTCATCTATCTAAAACTAAACTAACAATCAGGCTGAAAGTTCGCTTTTCAAGCTTACTCAGAATTTCCTACAGTCTTTTTGAAGATAGCCTATTCCTCTGAAAGATTCGATTTGATCATTTCTGGAATAAGACCTTTCGTTCTAAAGTCGACGGAGACTTTATTAATACGCATTGCACTACAATTTTCATCAATAAGTAATAAGACAATAACAACTATTGAGATACCAGGCTTATTTGACTGATGGAAGATTGATTTCCAGGTTTTGTAAGGCTATTGAAAATCTGTTTAAAGGGATTATGTATCACGTTTGACTATCGACTGACGTCATATCTCGATGTAGCACATTGAATTCGTGGTGAGAATAAATGCGACTGGCCGTGGCACAGTATCTTTCGAATTCAAAGTGTGGAGCGAAAATAAAATTCAAGTTAGTATCACCTAACAGTGACATTTTTGCGGTGCTCTGTTTGACCGAACTAGCTTACATGTATGTCCTATTACTTCTTCACGTTTATTATTGTGTCCTAACGTATTTTTTTGATTACAGCTTGATTCCACACTGTATTTTTGGTACAAGTATAGAATTTTCAGCATGGATATCGGTAGCCCAAATTTTGCAGGCCGACCATAGATATCAGGTGTGCGTCGGCAGGGGATCGAACCTCGCACGATGTGCATGGTCGGCGAGAGTCCCAACCACTGTGCCACCGACGCACAAAAACTTGACATCTACAACGTAAATCAAAAGGCGCTTGAGAAGGAGTACGAACGTATATTATCGCAGTAATCAAAGTTCAAAAGTTGAGCGAGTACAATGCATCAATTGTTAACACGCAATCTTTAGAATGATAAACAAACCAAAGTCCAATTATATAGTGAAAGTATACTACGATGATGAATAATAAAATAGGTCACTACAATAGCCCCTCCGTAGAATGCAGGTAAATGAAGTTTACTTGTATTCGGAATGTTATTGTAAATTACAAGGACACAAAAAATATATAAGAATTTCTCATTTGAAAACCGAATTGAGGATTTTAAGTTTTCTGAGGTCTGATAATATAACTGTATATATTCGAAAATACTAACAACTTTGAAACGAACCAAAATATTTAGAAAGTTGTGCAAAATGTAACAATAAAACCGGGAAAAGTTATTAGAATAATAATGGGGTTGTTATTGTAAAGAGTTACGGAAAAGATTTATATCTTACATACAGTTAATAGCACAGTAATAAGGAAGTATGGAAATGACTTAGAAATAAATTGTCCCTACAAATCTATGTGACCAGTGTTCTCGCCTGTTTGATCTTGTGATTCTTTCTGTTTTGTTAGCCGGAATATCACCAGATTTTAAATCTTGAGAGCAGGTATCATTTTGTGGCTTCACTTTAGATAATGTTGATGACTTGGGTAAACATTCAGTCACCTCTGTTTCCATGAAAGCCGGATTTGCGCGATCGATGCTTACATTCTTGTGTTTTCCTTCGCGTTCGACAGTGACAATTTTGCTTGTTCTGCTTATTACTTTAAATGGTCCGTCATAAGGTGGTTGAAGTGGTTTCCTTACACCGTCATGTCGTATGAAAACATGAGTGCAATCCTCTAGTTTTTGAGGCATGTATGCTTGGTTGAGTTGATGTCGCGGGGGATGATACCTTAAAAGGCTCATATGTTGTCTCAGTTGTTGTGCAAAAGTAGTTTCGTCAGCTGGAATTTCAGTGACTGGTTTGAAATATTCTCTCTACCTCGTTTTTATGTCCTTTGATGAATCTAATATCTGAAGTGGACTGAGAAATGAACTCGAGGTGTCGCAGCTGTCAGTGAGTACCTATCATGCTTTGCATTCGTGGCTTTGGTTAAAGGTTTGTGGTCTGTGTAGATGGTGAACGGTATTCCTTCGACCATATGACGAAAGCGTTTAACAGCAACATAGACTGCTAGTAATTCCCTACTGAATGCACTATATCTTGATTGAGTAGCGTCTAGACGTTCGGAGAAAAAAGAGAGAGGTTTCCATTTTGAAGCAGCAAATTTCCGAAGAACTACACCGATGGCGACATCTAATGCATTTGTCATAATAGCTATAGGAGCGTTGACGTCACGGCGTATCAGTGAAGTTTCTGAGCTTAGAGTTGGTTTCAGCTTTTCAAATGCTCCGACTGCTGAAGTATTCATGTGCAGCAATTTTGCGTGACCTTTTAGTAGATTTGTCAGAGTTTGGGCCAGCTATGCACAGTGAGGAATGAAACGGCGATAAAAATTGATGAGACTAAGGAATCGGCGTAATTTTTTGAAAGAATCTGGGATGGGGTATTCTTTTATGACTTGAAGCTGTTCTGCTATCGGTCGAACGCCTTGATTGTCTACCTGATGCCCCATAAATTTTACAGTTTTCCTAACAAATTCACATCTACTTGGCTTAATGACAATCCCATATTCGGCCAAACATTTAGGGAGTGTTTCTAAGTGATGTTGGTGCTCTTCAGGTGATTTACTTGCGACCAGTATATCATCGATATAGGTGTAAGTGAATGTGAGGCCGTGGGAGACCTGGTCGATAAATCTCTGAAGCGTTTGCGCTGCGTTAGTTAAACCAAATGGCAGACAGACGAACTCAAATAACTTAAAAGGTGTGGTTACCGCAGTTTTGTGTATGTTCTTAGGTTCGACAGGTATATGGTGGTATGCACGGACGAGGTCAATTTTGGAAAATGTCTGAGCACCTGCCATGCTATGAAAAAATCGTGGATATTTGGAAATGGGTACCTATCTGCTATCGTCTGCCTATTTAAAGCTCGATAATCTCCCCACGGTCGTATCTCAGTTGAGTTCTTCTTTGGTACCATATGAAGCGATGACCATGGGCTGTTTCACGATCGTATTATTGCTAGATCCAACAATCTGTTGAACTCTGTTTTTGCTATTAGCATTTTTGCTGGATCTAAACGACGTGGTTTTGCTGCGACAGGTGGACCTTTAGTGACAATATGGTGCGTTACGTTGTGTTTGAGAGAGGCTGTGGAGTAGTCGCTCTGTATGAGTTAAGGAAATTTCCTTACCAAAACGTCGTACGTAGATAATTGATCATATGTTGTTTTTTTTCCTTCACGTTCCCAGTGGAACCTAGGACTTCAAGCTAGAGGCTTGAAGTTTCTGTAGCGGTGTTTATTTCTACAGGATGGCGTTGCTAGCCTCATGCCCAACCTTTACTCTTCACCAGCTTTACTTCCGGCTGAGTGAGGTAAAGGAGTGCGCCGGCCGGGGATCGAACTGCGGACCATGTGCATGGTTGGTGATTGTCCTAACCGCTATTCCACCGACGCACAATTGATCTGTTGTAGCTACCTGTTATGTACTCGTCGAGTAGTTAATAGTCCTGACGCGGTAAGAGGGAAATCAAAAGACCACCAGGTTTACGACGATACCTGTATTTTCCAGACAAGGAAAATAAATGTCACACTAGTGTGTGAATGAAATGGTACGAATGTACGAAACGTGTGAACACCAGAATGAATAATTGTACAATGCAAAGTATATATGAAAATGGCTAATACATTTGAACCAATAAAATAACGTCTTACCATGATTAGTTGTAATGTCATGTGACAGCAAGGTCATACATTGTTTATTTAGTTAGTGGACGGACAAAAGCATATTGTCAGTTATAATGAAATATTGATCCATATACACATAGCAAAATATAATAGACTGTCAACAACAAAACACACACATCATGTGGATACATATCACTACCATCAAGCGGATGCCCTCGACATCGGTGGAGATGCCTAAAATTGGTAGTTTGTGACTGCTATTTATCAATCTATGGCGACTACAGTCGACTAGCAATTCGCAGTGCTGCAGAAAATACATCCCAATAATAGGAAAGGTTATATCTGCAATGACGAACTCCCAATCAAATGGTGTACTGTAACCAAAATTAGGTTTTTATCTTCTAGTTTTAAAGGTTTTTATAGTAGGGTTGCTCGAAGCCTGAAGTACTAATGCGGAATTAGGCTGTAAACGTTCTCTGGGTGTTAGGGTAACTACACTAACTTCTGCGCCGGTATCTATCAGGAGTTGTGCTCCTGTTATTTTATCTGTCACTCTGAAGAGATGACTGTGGGATGGGTGATGGCCATCGACCGCAGTCATCACCGGCCGCCGGCCTTTTCGTTTCCCCACGCCATAGGCCGCTGGAAAGCACATGGTTGCGTGCACCATTTAGCATGTACATTAAATTTTCGATGATACCAGCATACAGTCTTTTGTAAGCTATATTGACGTACATTGCGTGAGCGACTACGCTGTCTTCTGTATGATGTAATAGTTTGTCTATTAAACCTCATCGTCATTAACTGCCAGGTGAGAACCTCTATTTTACGTTCCAGTGCTTCTATGCGTTCGTCCGACGATTTTTCGAGTACAGATGTTACTTGTGGAGACATTCGTTCAGCAATTTCTGCTAACTTGTCAATATCTATTTCTTCGTCTCCAAATGCTGTGGTAGAAAAACCTGGTGTCTACCTTCCGATCTTCTAAAATGTTACATGTATGGCTTTTGAGTTGGAAAGGTGTTCTATCACCCAGACTAACATGGCTGGGTAGCTGATCAATAGCTTTTTGGTCTGATAATGAGGCAATCTTAATAACCTTCTGCTTTCAAACATCGTTCAGAGTCTTTGGATCTGGATTTATGAGCGTTTCCCGTACTTGCCCTACTACTTCGTCCGGCAAGATGGAACTTGCATAGCCACATTTCGTAGTCTGAGAAGTGACGGGGTTAGCTAGGAAGTAGGGTTCTATTCAAGTGAACCACATATATGGATCATTAGGTTTAAAAGGTGGTATGGATATGGTAACTGCAGCCACAGACCTTGTACTTGAAGTGTTGTTATCAGTATCAAATGACATTACAAAAGTACAAAAAGTAATATATATATATATATATATCTGATTACTCGACATCCACAACGTAAGTCAAAAGGCGCTTGAGAAGGAGTACGAACGTATATTATCGCAGTAATCAAAGTTCAAAAGTTGAGCGAGTACAATGCATCAATTGTTAACACGCAATCTTTAGAATGATAAACAAACCAAAGTCCAATTATATAGTGAAAGTATACTACGATGATGAATAATAAAATGGGTCACTATAACATAAGACAGCAGTCGAAATCTACTTTACTGTTTAGCAGTTATGTAGGTAAACATGAAAATATGATGGAGAGATCACTGCCTTGCCAGTGATTTCATGCTTACTGACTCATCAACAAATTTCATCGTGATGCCTCTAAATTAACGCTAAGTGAACGCTTATTAAACTAATTCATTTACCCATACTGTACTCTTACAGATACGTATGCTTGCCGAATATATGCCATTGTATGATTGAACAATAGTTTTTGGTTGTTCATTATATTCTTTGCACAGCCACGCGTATCTGTTTTTGTTTCAAATAATATGAAGTTCGGTTTTGCTAACAATACATTTTCTCAAGTTTTCATTTGTGCTTTATAATACAACATTATTCGTTTTTGGTCATATATAGCGTTTAGCGCATTGTAAAACATGAAGTTGTGGATGTATTATAGCATAATAATCGGAGCCCAATATAATTATCAATAGCACTTTCGAACATTGGGAAAGTGTTGTTTTCCTTAGAAGTCAAATCAATACCACTTATTGCTGAAGTCAATAAATGTGCAACCAATATGTATACATCACGACAGTCTATCTATATTACTGAATCGGTTACTTGTTTTCAAGTACTGAAGTTAATGTAATGTTCTACCTCTCTCAGCAGTTCACCTTGTTACTTCACTAGTAAAAGTTTGACAGTTATCCGACAGCAAAAACCTCATATTGTTTCATTGAATGAAGTGCCAACAAGTGGTTTAAAATGGGTAAATATAACAAACGCATCTACTTATTAAAGACCTTTTTGGCAAGGACCAGTCAAAGAATGAGTCATTTCATAGGAAATTGCTTGAAAAAAAAACAAGTCATCGGTTGAATGACTTCAGTATCACCACATATGAGTCATCATCATGTATCTATGTTAATATTAACTTCAGTAATTGGAATTCGAGGATGTTTGTGACTGTCTGCTCATACTACTGAAACGAATTAAGTAATCTAATCTCAGATCAACATGAAATTTAAAAATACAAGAGAATTGGAAATGCAAAATGATTTGATCGCATTTTACTGGCTAGTTCCTGAACTTACTTAGATGTGAGAGACAGCTTCAGTAATTTTTGGTTTCCAGTTATATATAAACATAAATTTGCTAGACTTATTTATTGTGATTAGTAGTTTCGTGTTTTCTAAGTGGAACACAGGGCTTCAGCAGTTCATCTCCATTCCACTGGTTCCGGTGATATCACATTCAGCTGGCTACATGACTGCCCAAAAGCTTCCATTTACTCTTCAGTTGCTCCTTTTCATGCCATTAGTGGACCCCCAACTTATCGTTTCCCATTCATTCTCCACTCAATGGCCAGCGTATTATATATATATATATATATATATATATATATATATATATATATTTATATATATAATACACCTGGGAAAGACCAGTCTCCAATTCTTGGCACTTCGAATTGCGTAAATCATTTTGAGTGTGTTTGTGGAATCAAATACACAGGTCTTACAAAAAGTCGATTGTCTACTCGCATGATGGCGCATTTAGCAAGGTGGTTGAAAACAGCTGAAGTAAAAGTGCCAAAAAGTTCAATAAAAAAGCATCTTATGCACTACCGACATGATATTTACGCCGTCAAGTCATTCACTATTGTCAGCGAACAAACAAATAGGAGGCTTGCGAAGGCTTGCGCAGTTAAAGTTAATAAACCAGGTCTTTGTATACAACAGAAAATGGTAATGTGGTGATTGACAATTTCTATCTCTGTATTGTTTAAATACTTACTGTTGGTTGTTAATATGTTTCTTATATGAATAGCATTATAATTCCGCTAAATACAAATTCCTGAATTCCGCCCTCTCTGTGTTTTGGTTGGATTCTTGTAATTCGGTCATCTCGAAATACTAATACTACGATTACAAAATATCACAACAAATTGGCGTCACGATGGAACTAAATAACCTTGGAAAATTCCCTATAAATGGTTCTCCGCGGGAAATTGCTGATTACCTTGAATGCTTCGATGCATGGTGCATTTCAAAGAACGTTCGGGATGACGAAATTCCGGCACATTTCGTCACTGTTATTGGGCTAGATACATATAGCCTAGTGAAGAATCTGGCGTTTCCAGATAAACCCATTTCTATGT